GTTAAGACCTCCTTTAATTTTGTTTATAGAGTTTATACTGAGTTCAATATTGTATAACTGTATTAATTCAATTGTGAACCTAAAAATGTACAGCCAATATTGAAAGAGATGCATCTTTGCTCTGGATGTTATTGAATAGGTTAATGCTGTTGTAATGAAATGCTTCCTCTAATAAACAAAATTTTCTTTCCATTTTTGTAATAATAAAACCAATATTTAAGCTTAATTTGTTTGCAATCATACAACCATTTATTCTTAAGTTAATTATGTAGTAACTTTTTCCATAGTCAACAGTGATCATTACAAAGATTGACTGCGCCTGCTTCAGAACTATATAAAATGTGAGCTGTGGGAAGGTGGCCACAAAAATGACAGAATACTTAGTGGACCACTCACCTTCTCAAATCGAGAGATGAAGGTTATTTCTCAGAAGTTTTAAATAAGAAACTTCACAGCATTAAAAAAAAATCCTTAAAACAACATCTTGAATACTTATAAAACAATGTCTAAATAATTATTTTCTTACATAGTTTTGAAATCATATTTTCTCAACTATGTCAACTTGACTACCAAGCAGTAATATACTATTTTCTCTTAATATGATTAACCTACCAAACAAGAGAATATTCCAAAATAAAAGCTCATGTCTTGTCTGATCCTAAAACAAACATCATATAATTACCATCACTTGTACCTATAACAACCAAAGATATTTTTAACAAATTTAAACATACCTTTACCAGTTTTATCTCAACTGAATATAAAAATCCCTTCATGGATGCATCGCAAGAGAGTCGATATAAAACTGATTCCGCAAGGAAAAACAGGGCAGGAAGTTGATCACGGTCAAAGGAAGCATGGTCCAGGGACACATTGAGCATGTTTAAAGCTTCTGAAATATTAACAAATTGAAATCCTGTCACTAAAAAAATTGATTTTGCTTTCCTCCATGCTAAACTTACATCTTCAATTCAGAATTTGTTCATCAGATTCTGATGGCAGAGCATATTCATAAATACTTCTCTACTCTTCCTATTGAGAGGTGAATTCTATGCTTCCTTTGTTTTAAACATCAGCAGGTCTAAAAGATTGCCTCAGAACAACCCAACAGAAGTCATACTGGGTGGTTTCCAAGGCTAAGTCAGCAAAGAAAATGGTTTTTAACCTGATTCTCTTCCTTATGCTCTCCCCACTCCTTCCACCGTTGCTCCTGGTCCTCTTCTTTTCCCTCCCCCTCCCCTTCTCAGTTGGCACTGAAGAGCAGGAGGTTTCACTGTCATAAACCACAACAGCTCACAACATACCAGGCAAACATCAGATAGAGGCCAGGCTATGGGTAGCACAGTGATGAGGGGTCATTAAGACACCTTCAGCACAAACAGGGATTCTGTCTCCCACTGGTTGGAGTTTTTTGTAGCATTACAAACCCCAATTTACATGGCAAAATAGTCTCAGAACTTATGCAGTCAACATCCCAAATTTTATTTTAAAAAGCATACACATAACATTCCATTTAATGCAGGAAGGACTTTTATTCCCTCTATAAAAAATATTTTCTTTTTTAGACTGCTTAGAGGTTATTTGAAAGGAGATATATAAGGGAGAAGTGATAAATAAAAAGGTAACAAGCTATGCTTTCTGTCTAAAACAAATTTTAAAAAATACCTAAATGGCCATTTGACTAATGTTTTATGAGTAAGAATTATAAAATGAAGAAACAAATTTATTTATAGTGCCTATTGTTTGTGGAATTACCCAATGACAATGCATAATGACTTTTTAATTACAAATTTTTGGAAAATGTATTAAAGGCTAGGACTGAGCAAGGGCTTTTTAGTTTTTATATTTGTTTGTTTTCAGAGACTGGGTCTCCCTGTAGCCCCAGCTGGCCTAGAACTTCCTATGTAAATCAGATAGGCCTCCGTCTCATAGAGACCTGCCTATCTCTGCCTCCTGAGTGCTAAGACAAAAGGCGCACACATTTATTGACTTTCTGTGAACTTCATACAATATCTCTTCATCATATTTAGACCCCCTACCTTATCATTCCTGGTGGAAAGAGAAGAGAGATAAATAATGCTTAAGTGATGTGAAAAACCAGAGGTAAATGTATCAGTTCAAAGCCCTACTGAAAAATATACATATAATATATATATACACATGAGTTCATGTGTATAGTTGAAGGCTATATAACAAAAAAGCACAGTGTCAGGCAAGAGAAACCTCTCTTTGTAGTTTGTATTCAGGATAGTCCAAGGGACTCCTAAAATAACACAGGCTACTGACACAGCCATTGATTACCTCCCAAAACTTGCAAGAAAAGACTCTATTGCTGAAAACAGGACGTACTTTAGACATAGGACTTAGGGCAATGGAACTAGAACTGTCTTGTAAGCCTCCTCCCTGAAGACTAGTTCTCCTAATATCAGAGGATACTATGCAAGCTGCAAAGGCAGAAAACCAATAAATGGACCAACCCGGCTGTACATCCTAATAAACACAATAACTGGCCCAGAAAACTATCACTGTTGGTGCATGTATTAGTTACTTTTCTGTTTCTGTGACAGAAACACTGACCAAAGCAACTTATAGGAAGAAGAATTTATTTAGCTTTCAGTTCCAAAGGGACAAGAGTCCATCATGGCAAGGAGGCATGGTGGCAGAGGTGGCCGGAGGAGTACTCACATCTTCGAGCAAGCATAGGAAGCGAAAGAGTAACTCAAAATCCAGCAAGGCTTAAGAACTCCCTAAGCCTGCCCCCAATGATGTGTTTCCTCCAGCATAGCCACACCTCTAAGACCTCCCAAAACAGCGTCACCAACTGGGGACAGAATGTCCAAATACTTGAAGCCTATGGAGGACATTCACATTCAAACCATCACAGTGCAGTGTCACTACTTTCATCTTGGGGTAATCAACAGCTGTCCAACTGGACTTAAAGACAGCTCAGTGAGATGAAACTTATTTGTGGTACTGTAAACATAGCCAAATAGACATGAATGGAGAGGTCACAGATCCTAGAGAAAAATCCACCTTTGCACATACCTAGACCAAAGTAATTTGTTACTGTATTCCAAGTATGTATTTTTATATTTACAGACAAATGTACCTCTTACCACTCATCAAAATAGTGTGTTTTTGGAACAGATGGAAACTATTATGGAGTTCCACAAGTGGTCAATGCAATACAGAGAATAACTGCGAGATGCTCAGCCATAAGTGACACATCTATAATGCAGCCTCTACACCTAAGGGTCAGGGAACACAGTGGATCAGGGGGCAGAAAGAGTATTAATGTATCTCTCATCTCTCACCAGTGAAGATTCTTCATGCAGCAGATGGTGATTAACACAGATAACCACAACTGGACCAAATGCGAACAATAAGAGACAGCAGGGTACTTGTCCCTGGGTAGGACACATATATTAAATTTTTGCCATTCAGGGCTCAGGGACCATTGTGGAAGAGAGGATGGAAAGACTGAAAGAGCCAGGGGTGGTGTATGACATAAGGAAACAGAATATGGTTAAGAACTATTGGCAACCAGTGAACCTCTGCTTTCCACTCTTGCTCTGGCGATCTCCTGCCACCATGCCTCCCCACCACGACAGACTCTAATTCCCCTGGAACTGTAAGCTCAAATAAACTCTTGCTTTTTAAAGTTTCTTTGGTCATGATTTTTTATCACAGCAACAGAAAAGTAATTAATACAATATATATTAGATGTTTATTGTAATATATTGTAATTATATATTATTATATGCATGTATAATAGAGTACATGCAATTGGATGTGGATAGTAAGGGGTGATGCCAATGAGGGGAGTTCTAAATATGATCAAAATATATTGTAAAAAATTCAATTAAAAAATAAAAATAAAAGTTGAGCAGTCAAATTCATAAATTCAGAATTATAAAAGAAACTCTAATAAAGAAACAGCAGCATATATTTTGATGGAGAATGGCCAATTTTTCTTGTCACCTGCAAAATTTGCAAAACTTAAAGTTGTCTCAAATAATTTCTTTCCTAATAATCCACAAAGCATTCCAGATCCCTTAGGTGAGTTCAGATAGAACACTTACCATCTTGGATTTCTCCTTTGCATTGAGCCAGATATATGACTTCAGTCCATGCAGTTGGGAGGTGCACATGCTTGCCAGAGCCCAGCGTCTTGAGACCCAGCTTCCTCTGTTATGGGGAAGAATGAAAAATGCAAATCAAAATGTGCATCTTTTCTATTTGTATGTTTGGTATTTCTTAAATATATTCTGAAAGTCATTCTTTCAGGATAATGGTTTATTGTCAGAGTTATTAAGAACTTTATATTTTTGCTTTCATGGGGAACCTTCCCACTAACACATTTGACATTGAATTGTTTGGTTATAAGTTTCTAATTTAATTTACATTCACATTTTAGTTCTGTTGACTTACAGTTGAAGGAAGCTATACCCACATCTTTGTTTTCTTCTTTCAATATTTTAGAATGTGTAATCATTTACCAACTAGGAAAGAAAGTCTACCTGTGGAGTAGCTGCTGTACCATCTCTTACCTTACACCTGGTAATGAGTTTTCTAGCTTGTTCCAACAGTTCTACTTTCTCTGTGGGATCCTGCACTTGATTAAATTTCAGGATGAATTCTTTTGTGATTGAAAACGATGGCCTATACAGAAAATAATTAAAGCTATAATTTTCAAATTTTAATTAATCAACTCCTAGTGGCTAAGCATAACAGTTTCCTACACAAAGTATTTTACTTTTTAATAACAATGTTTCACAGACAAACAAAACAATAAAATAAAAGCTGTGTGCAGGATTCCTTTTTAATCTTTTTATATTCTCATCTTGAGGAACAAATTGCCATTTCAACAGGCCTTCATCCTTTGGAAAAGGTTCCTGAGAGTAGGCTTTGGGATAGATTTTTTTTTTTTTACAAATAAAAATCAAGTACAGCTTCAATAAGCTGAAGACTGATTGATCTCATCACATAAATCAATGTTGGCCCAGTTTAAGTGAAATCTTTATTCTATCTATATAGAAGCTGTATAACTATGGCTACAGTGAAGTGTCAAAGAAGGAAAGGAGAGTGGAGAAAGTCAGATAGGGAACTAGTAGCCATAGTACCATAGTACTCCTGCTGCACAAGAGGGAAGATATTGCAAAGCTGCAGCAAGATGAGTAGGGCTTACTCATGGTCTGCTGAGATCCAGAGTTAGGGAAGTGGGACATATGAACTTAGCTAGGCAGACGTGTGGTTAAGTAAGAGATAATGGTGGTTCAGGTCAGGGTAACAGCAGTCTAAGTATGGAGAAGGGTTTGGATAATGAGTGTTATCACATTAGATTGACCAATGAGTTACCAAATAGGTTTAAAAAAAGGGGTCATGATTCAACTGAGCCGGACATATTTGAGATGGCAATTATCAGACAAATGGAGAGGGAGAGTAAGCAGGCATGTATGTAAGCTTCAATCAAAAGGAGACAGCTCAGATTAGACATGTCTATTTTTGCATCATCAGTATCACACATGGGGACGAAACTGGCATCAAAACAATGGAGAGGTTAAACCAGCTCTGGTGGCATGTTCCAGCATTTGTGAGGTAGAGGCAGGGCATAAATGCCTACATGAAAAGAAGATTTCAAATAAATTACTTAACCTTACACTTAAATGAATAGAAGAATAAAAAGAAAAAGCAAACAATAAAGATTAGAATAACAAAAAATCAAATAGAGAAATAAAAACAATAGAAAAAGTCATCAAAATTTAGTTTTATTTTGTAAAGATAAAATCAATTAACAAACTCTCAGACTTTCCGAAGGAAATAATGAGTATCAATTGTGATAATGAGAAAAGAGAGCCCTGGGAACATAAAGTGTTTACACAATTATAAGACACAGTATGAAGTTTGAAAGAAAGAAAAAAAAGATAAGTAGAGATACCTTATGATCTGACAGTCCTAATTCTGGGCATTTATATGTAATAGAAATGCAATCAGTATTCCCAAAAATATCTAATCTCCCATGTTCATTGAATCATTATTGATAATAGAGAAAAAAATGGAAGTACTTTAAGAGCCTGTCAGTAGATGAGCGGATGAAGAAAATGCAGGGTGTGTAAATAACAGAATACTACTCAACCTTTGAAAACAAGAGAAAAATCCTGTCATTTGTAACAACATGAATGGATCATGAGGACATTACACTCAGTATGCTGAGTAATGTGTAGAAGAGCAAATACTATATGCTCTCACTTAATATAGAATCTAAAATAGTCAAACACAGAAATAGAGGGCAGAAGAGTAATTGCCAGGACCTGAAGGGAGAAGAAAATGAGGAGATATTTATTGGTCAATGGTATAAAGTTTCATTTATATGAGTTAGGTTCTGTAGATAGAGTGGATTACAGTGCAAATATACTTTACAGTATTGTATCTGTCCTTGAAATTTGCTAATGAGGAAGAGCTGTCATTACAATTTCATAACGGGTAACTATGTACAGTGATAAATATGTTAATTAGCTCTATCGTAATGATTATTTCACTATATACATGCACTTCAAGGTATTAAGTCAAACACCTAAACTGTATACAATGTGTGTCATTATACTTTAGGTTTTAGCCTTTTAAAAAGATCTCCATTTCATTATTAAAATACAGTTTCATACAGAAGAATTCATTCCAAGGCAATAGACATTGAGACGTTTTCACATGAATTTCTAATCTCTATATATCTGATTATTACTAGTGACAGTCGGTTAATTTCTGAGCTCCTTGGCATCTGAGCATGGATATAAAGTCATCAGGTAGATTTCAATGGTAATGTTTTTCACATCTACTAATTATTATTATTATTATTTTGATTATTTATTTCATAGCCAAATGATTAGAAGAGGCATTTTATTACCACAGCATTGACATATTCAATCTCTGGAAACTGTTATTGAGTATGTCAATGCTGTTGTAATGAAATGCTTCTACTAATTATGTGGTTATTATATAAATTTTTTTTGTACAATCTTTTACTCATTATAAACTCTATAAGACAAAATTAAATGAGTTTTTAATGTTTACAAAAGATCTCCATTTCATTATTAAAATACACAGTTTCATACAGAAAAAAAATCATTTTTAATACAATGAGACTAAGATGCACATGCATTTCTAATCTCTATATATCTGATTATTACTAGTCACAGTTGGTTACTTTCTGAGCTCCTTAGCATCTGAGCATGGATATAAAGTCATCAGGTAGATTTCAATGGTAACATTTTTCACATCTACTAGTCAAGTCACTCTCTTGCTTCCTGTGCCTGCTTCAAGATGTAAGAACTTAGCTTCCGCTCCTCCACCAGTCACTTCTGTTGCCATGCCTCCCCACCATGATGGACTCTTGCCCCTTTGGAACCACAAGCTCAAATAAACTCTTCCTTCTACAAGTCACTTACTAATACAATATTGTACTTAAAAGAGTGGTTGACACTGCTCATGATGCTGAGAATAAATGACAGTAATGTACTAAGCCCTAAACAACACACATATACTACCCTCTCTAAGACTTGGGGAACATTAGGCAGTAAGAATGGAAGAGCTAGAAAAGGGAAGGGCTGCAAAATGCCATGTTCTGGGGATGACACAACCATTGCAATCAAACTCACACCACCTGCAGTTACCTGCACTGGAACCACACAAGACCGGACCTGTCAAAACTCAGTGGTGGGATGAACAAGGAGTTCATGGGGCCCTAACACTGCTCCCTGTTGAAAACTTGGGTACTGAAAAAGTCTGGCAGGAGAAAGAGTCATTGACTTTAGTTACATACCCACTGGTAAGTCCACCAAGTTCCAATGGAGAGTTCCAAACCCATGGTTACACACACAGCCTTGATTAAACTCAATAGGTAACAAAATAAAACAAAAAGGTATAAATGTGCAAAAAAGATTCATAGGAAGAAGATAGTGATTGACAGGGGTAGGAGGGTGATAGGAGACAGTGAGGATAAGAGTAATTACATTACATTGTATACATGTATGGAGTTGTCAATGAAAAAATTTAGATTTTTTTTAAAGTAATTGGTTGCCCCTATAACATCATGTCACTATTGCACAGTTGGGCCTAACTTGTCTGATAGGTTGGTGTCATAGATCCAGGGTTCACAGCTAGGGAAAACTATGGATGCCTTTTCTCTTCAGACAGTCTGCATAGTACCTGTAGGCAGCATGAAAGCAAGCCAGGAGTGAGGAAGCTTCCAGCTCAGTTTTGGTTGGATTTGAGGACCACTCCAGAAGAGGGAATTCATACCTGGTACTAGAAATTCACTCAGAAGTCCATGAAAGGGTAGGAAGTAAGATCTTGAGGGGAGCTTAATTCTGTTATTCAGTTAAATTGGCATAGATTCAATCCACTTTCTAAATATATATTTATAGCAATAGACAATTATCACCCTTATTCTTTTTTATATTTTATTATTTTTATTTTATGTATGAGTGTATTGCCTGCATATATGTAAGTGCACTCATGTCATAAACTGTCCCCAGAGGTCAGAAGAAGGCAGCGGATCCCCTGGAACTGGAGTTACAGAGGGTTGTTAGCTGTCATAAGGGAACTGGAAACTGAACCTGGGTCCTCTGCAAGAGCAGCCAGTGCTCTTAACCATGGAGCCATTTCTCCAGCTTTAGCAATTACCACTCTCAGTCTTAATCAGAGAAACCTCTTTTTCTGAGAATTGCAATGAAGGCAGTCTTATGTCTGCACAAGGTACTGAGAATAAGTGGTAGTTGAGTACTCTTTCCTAAACAAGGCATTCATGCCAACCCCACCAAGGTCCAGGAAATATTGTGGGAAAGGGTACAGAAAGACTGTAAGAGCCAAAAGATATGGAGAAAACGCCATGTTCTAGTCAATACACGGTCACTGCAATCATGAACTCTCAACTATGGATGACTCCATTGGGCCTGAATAAGAATGGGTGCACATCAACAGCCAGACAAGGGTTAAGAGGGACTAGGGGCCCTATCCTTCCTGCTGAACTATTCCTCTGGAGAGCTATAGGGAAGGGAGAATCATTGCTTCCAGTCATTGCTTTCATCTGGCTCCAATGGGTAAGTCCCAGTGCAATAGCCATACAGATGGTCTCCTTTAAACCAAATAGATCACATAACAAAATAAATGAATCCAGAAAAGAGACAAGGAGGGAGGAAAGGGGGAAATCGGTGTGGGAGAGCATTAAAGAGGGTGTGGGGCTGAGAGTAGCCAGATTGCATTATGTACATGTATGAAATTGTCAAAACAAGTTTTAAAAGATAAAGAAAATGTTTGTCAGACACCTAGATATAAAAAAAAAACAGTGATTGACACAAACTGAATAGTTGCTTAATGATAACTAGTACAATCATCATTAAAATTTTGTGAGCAATGATTACAGATATTTTTATCTTAGTATAACATTTTATTTTTCATTGTTATGCTCAGCATGGGAACACATTAAAGTTTTATGTGTCTACATGACTATATTTTCTTCTGTAACTTATGAGTTCTTCTCTTATATGGTCTTCTACCTGAGTTCAGGGAAATAGCCTGGGACCAGATCTTGGATGTCATTTAGACTATGTGGTAGTGTAGAATTTTACTCTAGATGTAATGCAAAGACACTGCAGAGGTTAAATTAGAACATAAAAAATAACATTTACATTCTTAAAAGGAATCTAAGACTGTTGTTCAGAGAACAAGTGGGTGAGCGCAGAACCAGTGGGAAGCTGATCACAAGGACAGGAGCTAGGTGATGGTGACTTGAAGGAGACATGTGCTGATAATAGTGAAATAAAGAAATTGTGCTTAAAACATATAATTACAAAGGACCAAGAACTCATCTAAGGCCTACCTGCAGGCCCACAGAAATATGTCCTGTAATTCAGCATTGATGCAGCTATCTAGTATTCCTTGCTGTGACCTGAGTTTCTTAAGTTTCTCTTTATCATTATACATATAATTTGCTTAGTTAACATCTGCTGTTTGCTTTATATATACTGATTGAAATGTGCAGAATGCATTTTGTTTTATTGAAAAGGAAAATGAGGCTTAGAAATAAGTATCATACTGAAGTTCATATCTTTGAAAGTAAGCAAAAGCAGTTTTTAAAATAAGCTGTCTGACTGCAATGGTGGTACACTCCTTTGATCCCAGCACTTGGGAGGCAGAGGCAGGTGGATCTCTGTGAGATCAAGGCTTGGTCTATATAGTGAGTTTCAGAGTAGCTGTGGCTACAAGGAGATTCCCATCTCAAATACAAAACAAAAATAAATAAATAAAATAAGATTTAAAAACTGTCTGACTCAAGATCTTTTACCTCTATTTCTACAATCCCTCAGAATGATCTATAGGAGTTTGTGATGAATATGTCTTAATAAAATAATAGTTACTGCACTTTATAGAGAGTTCCCCAATAGTGAACACAGACACACCCTGCTTCCCTTCCAGAGGATAGAGCATGTGTAAAATATATTTTCTGAAATTAAACATCCTACCTCAGCTTTTTCATAAGCTATGAGAAAAAAGAATTTCTTTCTAAAGTAAAATAAAGTCTAAGAATGAAAAAAATATCTAATTCAACTTTTAGGTTTAGAATATATCTTATAAATAATTTTAGCTTACTCAATTATTTTTCAATATGAAGTGTAGTCTGCAACGTATCATTGAAGATATGGAAAGCAAATCATTTTCTGCTTTCTGTACAGATACTGAATGCCTTAATTGTTCCCCCACACCTCCTGTTAATATATAATGGGAAATAAATACAGCTCCTTTAACAATTTCTTTCCCTTTGCAAATAGAAGTTATTACACAAATCTACCCTTATGTAGTGGTGTGTATGTGTGTGTGTGTGTGTGTGTGTGTGTGTGTGTAACTGATAATATGAGAGGAAACTTTTAAAAGGAAGTACAAGCTTTTGAAAATACATTTTAACTTCCCACATGCCAATTTCTTCAAAATATCAAAAGATTTCACAATGGTGAATGTAATATAGCCCAAGAGTAAAAGAACAAACCTGCGTAAAAGGCAATTAATAAATAATATTGTTTTAATTTTACATACTAAAGTCTTCTGATTGCACAGATACTCAACCCAAATTATTTTTTCAATATAAAATTAAATATATTACATGCATTTTTCTTAACTTACAGTACAACTTTTTAGACAATATATTACAAATTTTATCACCATAGTGTTATTGATAGATAATAACTTCCCCATCGTCTTTCATTTTTACTCAGATTACTGTGATATTAGAACCTTGAGAGAAGCATAACAACTAAAAATAAAATAAAATAAACCTAGAAAAAATACACTTGTTTTGGTTGTAAACTCTTTACAACCATTCTAAGTTGCACTTGCATTTATTTTAGAAAGTTTACCACAAGAAAATAATTTCTAAAATAGGAAAACATTCCGTTAGATCTAAATTTAAAATAGCAAAAGACTAAAATAACTAAAATATCCAGTATTAAAGATTTTTGTAGCATGCATTTCATGAGTTCTAGTAGCAATTTAAAATATGCAGAAATATTTTTAAATATCTATTTCAAATAAAATATGTATAATTCACAACTTTCTGAAGTATATGATCATTATAGTACAACAGATGGAGATTATTCCAAAGTTCTGTAACTGGTCAACACTACAAATAAGTGTCTGTGAGGTGCCCATCCCTAAGTGACACATCTACAATGCAACCTCTATACCTAAGACTAAGGGAATATCATGGAAAAGGGGGTGGAAAGAATATAAGAGTCAAAGGGACAAGATTTACCTGCTGTTACTTAATGCACTTTAAACTTGATGAGGAAGCTACATCAATGAGATCTCTACAGTATGGTAGTCTAACAAGATCTGCATATGACAAAACCAGTTGACATGCCAAGGTAGATGGGGAAAATTCCACTGGGCCCTACTCCAAGATGAAGAGCTACAAGAAATCACTGGATTCTGAGGGAAGGATAATCAATTTTCTCCGGAGACTAGCTTCTTGAGAGATTATCTAATCCCAAGTGGACAGCGCTGAACACAGGTACACAGAAGCACCACTAAATGGACTCAGTATGTTACATATTGTGGCTGCTAGGGGGCAGCCACCGGACCTGAATGGATTAACACGGAACTGATAAAAGACCAGGGGACTCGTGCGGTTTTCTTGTTTTTCTCTTATTTCCTCATCCATGCCCGAATGCCAAAAGGCACAGGCAACTCTGTTTTTATACTCATATTCATTAGAGCTACGATTGAATGTTTGCAGAACAGTGGATAATAACGTGGCTAGAATTCAGCAATTTAGTAAAATATAATGAGCAGGATAACACAACCACCATAATATGCCTTGAGAGATAAAAGTGTCTCCTGAGAAACAAGCGGAGTACCGGCATGCTGAAGATAACTCCTCAGCAAGCATCCTTGCATAAACTTTCTCATGAGAAAAGGCTCTCCAGGCATACGTATACGTGTTCCAGGTTCCTCTAAATTTACCAGCCATATTTTTAAAGCCATAGGAACACTATTTCACAGTCATATATAAGGGATATATATATATGAAGTTTATGTATATGTAACAATAATTTAAAAAGGATAAGAAATTGAGATGGATTGGGGTGACATGGGAGGAGTTTAGGGGGACTGGAAGAGACAGAAATAATGTAAAGACAATACCATGTATAATATTATGCACAAAAACAAAAAATTAAAACTAAAAATAAGCTATTTAAAAATAGTAAACTTTCAACCTCGGTTACAGAGTTATGGTCATTTTTAAACATTTTTCACAATTTTCTGAACTCTCAATGCTCTCTAAAATGAACTGGATCCTTTACATAAAAAATACAAAACTTACTTACTTGGGTTTATGACTCTCCTTATGATTTGCATTTTCAAAATTAAATTTCAAGAGCTTCTCATGATAAGAGGAAGATATTACTCCAAATTTATTAATCACAGGTAAATTATTACCAGGCATAGTTATAGATCAGTAAACCTAAAGAAAATATTAAATATATGTTAGAATACAAATTTACTAACAGTATAAATAATAAATCCTGTGTAAAGGTTAGAAAAAGTAGCAAGAAGAAAATTGGGCTTAAGAATACCCTATTAAGGAATAATTTAAACTCATGGGAATCAAATTAACTTTGGATCTCAAATTCATGTTTTCTACTATGTTACATAAGATATAGTCTTTAATAGTCTTATTAGCAAAAACACTGCAAAAACAGCACAGCAGCCAGATAGGCGAACAGGCTAAACAAGTCCAACAGATTTACTTAACTGCTCTGCCTTGGTTTCTATACCTATAAACAGGAGAGCACCTCCTCATAGACTCCCTGTAACAAATACATAGTTCAAAATATGTAAATTGCTCAGAACAGACTGGCATAGAGGAGGCTTTCTATCAAGTCTGGTTGTTGCTACTGGATGACATGTTTATTGATTTTTTGGGGGTTTTCTGTGTGAGGCAGTTTGTTAATGTCTTTTTATGCCGCTTGTCTTTTTGTCATTTAGGTTATACCTTCTTGGCTTTCCCTATTACTCATATTTCTTTTCCTTTGAAAGACTATCTGAGCATATTTTTATTAGAGTATTTACAAAGCTAAGACATGTTATTTGTGTTTAGTGGGATATTTAGCAAGCACAATAAAATAAGATATAGGTGTTCACATTTATACTAAATTATTTTCCATTTCTTTTTTATGTTAATAAACACTTTATTCAGGTCATTATAGCAGGGAAGTTCCCAGCTAAATGCACAGAGAAGTGAGGAATTCCTGGGTTAATGTAGGAGCCAGTGGGTTACATAGGACTGAGTATTAAGGAGATAGCACCGAGGTTGTGGACTCAGACCAGGACAGAGGCCCTGGACTGATGACTGCTTTCCCACAGCCAGGCATATGCAAGGCATGCCTTCAACACTTGGCTGTTTCAGTGATGTTAGGGGAGCAGATATTAAAAGAAATAAATCAGGTTTTATGACATCTTGACTGCTACCACACTGCATACAAACACGAATTTAGAACATTCTAGTAATAACTGGCCACAGAGTAGTAAATCCTATGTGCTTCTCCTTTGCTGTTCCCTTGGCCATTTTCATTCATGCCTGAACTCCCCACCTTTGAACCACATACCCTGATAAAAAGTATCACATACACAGCAAAAGCCTCAGGGTGACAGGAGCAGCTTGCAAAGAGCAGCAAGCATCTCTGGCTAGCTTTCCTGTCAGGAAGTGACCATTTAGAAAGCTGATTTAGAAAGTGGAATATAAGTGGAAACAGTAAACAATCAGAAAGCTCTGGTCTATGAGGACTGGGCCAGATAACGATCACATCCACAGATGGTCTTACATGAGGGCTACAGAGCTGCTTCTCACATTATTCTTAGGAAGACCCTGGAGTCCACAGCTGATGGTCTGCAAACTACTGCATAAACTCTGGCTCATCTACGGTTATGAGTTCAGCTCAAACCTCCAGGCCCTGTGAAAGATTCCAAACCTAAGGGGGCTGCATTATCTACAGCGTTTCATAGGCAAGGAAGGACTGTCAAGATGTTGAAGTTTCACACGGTATTAACATTTTTTCTTGAAAGGCATCTTGAGCTGCATTTGGCACTAACTTGGATTTAATCTGTCAGGGACAGACTTAAGGATATCTTATTTATATTTAACTTTTGACAAAATAGAAACTTTGGACATAGTTATATAAAAACTGTTTAAAGGGGTTATTTTTTATTAAAATACTATTTTAGCAAGTGATACATAATAAGTACAGGAAAGTAAACATTTTCATATCTAATGTAAGAGTAAAAGCTCTTTACCAGCATCCTAAATACAGCAAGTCAGTAGTGCTTTATAAAAAGGAGGGTTCTCTTAAAACAAGGAAGTATCAGAATAAGGCACACCGTTATTGTCACAGATTCGTGTTAGTCAGTAGTGTTCTTTCTGGAAGGTGCAAGTTGGACATCTAATTACTCAAAGGCTTACAGTGTGGTTCTGAACATACTGTCAGATGACCAGGATCCCTGACTTGGAACAAAACCCCCTTCCTGGAATCGAGCAAGTCATCAGTAACAGTACCTGCCTCAATTCTGCAGCCTGGAGCATGAGAAGTCCTCTTTACCTGTCCACTTGTAATCTGCGAGGACACTGTGCAACTTGTGGGAAGGGTTGGCTGTGCTTCTAGCCTCAAGTGCATATTAAAGAACAAAAGCACATTTCCTAAGCATGGAGTTGTATATGAATTGACAAAAATTATCATTTGGGACTAATATTAGGTAAGCTTGATAATACAGCAGGTTCTAAATCAAAAGTCTTGAAGAGGTTCCTAGGCTTCAGTTTCATTGTTTTTTCATTAAGAGACACAGCACACAATGATGATGGTGATGACCATCATCCGGACTCTGCTCTCTGTCACCCACATCTTGAGGTTCTTCCACCAGTATTTTCTCTTCAACGTGGCAGCACTTGTTTCAAACTGAGAAGCACCAGCCTGCAGTGCATCTGTGTGGTCATCTAACTTGGAGATCTTCTGGTCTCTTTCTAACACCTTAACCACACTGACTCTCATGATGTCAACCACCTCATCAACTTGAACTTGCTGAAGTCTTTGATTACTGCCACTGTCAGCACGTGAACTCGAAGGCATTCCTGAAAACATTATGGTGGCAGTGGTGGCTGGTGAGGTTGGTGGAACTGCCTTCCATTTCTTCTTTAAAAATATTTTATTTTTATTTTATGTGTATGAGTGTGCTGCCTGCATGTTTGTAAGTGCAACCATGTCATGCAATTAATTCCCTCAGAGGTCAGAAGATGTCATTGGATTCCCTGGAACTGGAGTGACACATGATTGTTAGTTACCATGTCATCCTGGGAATCGAACCCAGGTCCTCTGCAAGAGTGCTCTTAACCACTGAGCCATCTCTCCAGCCACACCACACCCCCTCTTCTTTTTTAAAATGGCTAAATTCAAAAGCTAATACTTTATTTACATCATTTAAGATTTTGGCAGGAAACAGAGTACACTGATATGGGGCAACTGAGAGAATTCTTTCCAAAGACACGGACAGCTATAAAACAAGAAAGCATTCTCAGGGTCTAACAAGAAAGTGTAGCTGTAGGAGAGTGGAGGTGTAATTAAAAGCTTTGTTCTTTGGCCGAGAGATGCAAGCAATTTGAGGCTATCCTATAGGAGGCAATCTGGAGACTAGGAGCTCTAACCTCACTCCCCTTGATCATTTCCCTGTGCTTCTCATTAGAATTAGAGCAGATGGCACAGGACAAACTGGATCAGGCAAAAAGATCTGGCATAAAAAGTCTCATAAATGTAGAAATATGAGTATCTGTTGCTATTGTGGTATGGCAAGACCTGCTTCTAATTATCTAAATCCATTAGAAGGATGAAGCACCATTTAAGTCAGCAGCTTCCCTGAGCTATTGGGTGGGACCATTCAAAGTGGGCTTCCATTTAGTGTAGACTGCTCTAAGCCTGATTAGTCTTTACAGAGGTATATTTTATTTAATAGCTACAATTGTCAACATCAAACATTTCCACCTTAAAAGACACTCAGGAAAGTAACTATAAATTCATACCAACAAGAACATGATTCTCATAGCCTCAAGAATGATTGCCAAGAAGTAGAAATGAACAAATGAGTTGACAAGGGCTTAGTATAAGTCATATAAAATTACAAAGTTATTTCAGTAAATCCAGGTAAAGATAACTTCAAAAGAAGGCAGAAACCTCAGGAGACACTAAGACCTAGCCCACCATTCTTGAAATATTGCATATTCCAAAAATAAAGCTGAAAAAATACAAATTAGAATGGGAAATATATGTAGATTAATTACCATATAAATTAGGTAAATGATCCCCAGGCCCCACTCCTTACTGAGGAGGTACTGGCAGTTACAACTGCCTAGAGAATGAAGAATCATTCTTGCTTGAAGGTGTGGCCACTGGTAGATTTCCCATATTCCACTGCATGGCTTCACACAATGCACATAGAGGCAGTACTAATTAGACTTAGTGGGTTATAAAAAGAAATGAAGTTGGGGGGGAGAGGTGTTAGGGGATGTGGTTGAAGACGGAGGGGAAATGGTGGTGTATATGATCATGCTTCATTGTACACATATATGGAATTCTCAGAGAATGAAAATAAAAAATTAAGCAAAATTTTATTTGTTTTATGCTAGGCAAAAGTTAGAATTAATGTCTGGAAATTTATTTTTAAGCTTTTAAATTTCTGCTATTGCTGTCATGATTCTTATTTCAGATTTCTGTTTTACAATGAGTGTCATTAAAATAAATAGTAGCAATATACTATTAGTCCGTGCAAAGATTATTGAAATCCAGTTTACATAAAATTTAGGAGCATTATGTTACTGTTACTTATTTTTAGGTATTACCACCTTTCCTCATTGCTGTGACAAATGACCAGACAAAAGCAACTTAAGGGTTTATTTTGGCACACAGTTTAAAGTTACAGTCAGTCTACCATGGGGTAGACAGCAACATGGCAGGAACATGAGACAACTGGTCATACTACATCCACATTCGGGAAGAAAAGTGATTAATCCTGCTGTTCAGCTCGCTTTTACCTTTGTATTCAGTCCAGGACCCCAGCCCATGGAATGGTGGTACCCACATTTGTGGTGGATCTTCCACCTCAATTAACCTCACTAGAAAATCCACACAGACACACTCAAGTGATTCTAAATCCCATGAAGTTGACAATCAAGATTAAATATCATAAGCGTGAAGGTCATTTGTCATATGAAAATTTTGATATTTACAACACTTGTTCTTTGTGCACACATGGGGTTCTTGTTTATTAAAGATTTTATACTTTTAGAGCAGTTTCAAGTTCACAAGACTGAAAAGAAAATAGAGAAATTTCTGATGCACATCTACTTCTGTATGTGTGCAACTCACCTATTATCAGCATCCCGTATAAGACAGATATACTTATTAG